GCGACAGTACCATTATGCTCGTCTACTACACGTTTAAGTATCAAACATTCCGAATCAGAGAACCAGAAAGCTCTACAACCAATATGCGCATGTCCATATACTCCGATACAAACACTAGTAGGGTAGCTGAATCCCGATTAATCCATCCATTGTTTATTCAATACACAGTTCAACGGACAAACCCATTAACAGAACTGGAAAAAATAAACAATACATATAGAAAACACATACAAATACAAGAATAAATCAAAATGACAAAGTAACAAAATAAAATTAAAAATAATTAATACTGTGTAGATTTAAAACTATATAATAATTAAAAAATATCAATATTACATTTAAATGAAATGTCATTAAATAATGTCATACACCTTAAAAGCGACGAATGCTTCCCGCAGTTGACTGATCCACAGTCAGGTTAAAAATTGGTTTGCGTCTCAAACATCTATTTGGAACATAAAAATAAATATTGACAAGAATAGCAGGGCAGTCATAAAAAGAATTAATAATTTTATATAAAAAGAGAAGATCAAGAATTGTTCTCCTGTTAGATAAAAGAGAAATGTTAAAAAGTTTGCAATAAATAGGATAACATGAAATACTACAATGCACAAGTAACTTTCTACATAACTATTTAACAAATTTAAATTGCACATTTTCAATTTTGTTAGAAACCTCTTTTTGATGAGGGACCACACCACAGAGCCATATTCAAGAATAGATCTGAAATAAACAAGATACAAAGAAATAATTGCAGAAATAGCATTAAAGCTATAACAAGAACGTTTAATAAAACCCAGAGATTTTAAGGCCCTAGAAACAATAGAATTGATATGAAGATTGTATGACAGGTTAGAAGTTAAATGGATACCCAAGTCCTTAGTGATGGAAACTTGCTGCAAGGGTATACCTTTGATAAAATATTTAATAAATTTACTTTTCTCTAAATTGAGTGATAATTTCCAAAGGTTATTAAGATCAGTTTGCAAAGTGTGACTGTAATGATAGACCTATAAAGCTTGGTATCGTCAGCGTAAAGACTAAGATTGGCAGAGTTATCAAGGTGGGTGATGTCATTAATATACATAACAAATAACAAAGGTCCCAGGAGTGACCCCTGTGGTACACCAGACAATGCGGGAAACCATTTAGACACATAACCACCCAAAACTACGCTCTGCTGCCTATGACTTAGGTAAGATGATAACCAATGATCCAAACTACCACAAATACCAAGTTTAAAGACCTTGTGGAGTAGCAGCGGGTGGCTAACAGTGTCGAAAGCCTTACTGAAATCAGTATATCCATCTGCTGCTTGCTGTTAATAGCAGCAGATAACAATTAACAATTAAGTCAGTGTATTCAACTATAGACCTTAGAAAACAGTTTTCTAAGGTCTATGATTCAACCAGATTCGGTAAAGGTCAATTTCCTGCAGACCTTCAAGCCTTGAGTGTAGGTTACGCAGGTATCAGGGGTAAATTCTTCTCCTCGGGGTTCTCCACACTTGTCAGGGGGGAATCTCGTCTCGTCTCTCTATCTCGACCCCTTGAGGTACGGGATCGGGGAAGTCACTTATACTTTACAGTCAAATAAGACACACACAACGAAATACGTTTCAGCTCTCGTCTTAGTCGATCAATCGAGCACTCTATAAGACACAGCGCCCTGGGGAAATATACCCAAGGCTATCGCAAGGCTGACCCAAGACTCGCCCAAGACTGGACTGCCTCAAGGCTCGCCCCAGGACTCTCTCGGACTGCCCTCTCTCGACTGCGTCTATCGTGCTGTGCTCCCCAAGACCAACTCAAACTCTCTTTATTCATTTTCAAAACTCTATCCAATTACAAAGCAGTAAAAAGACTCTAGGGCGTAACCTTCAATCATAAAGCCAATCACACTAAGTACTGAATACGTCATATCTTTTGATTAATCGTTCACTACATTAATAACTATGGAATACCAACTGTCAGAATCTTAGTCAGAATAGCGACGGATATCTGGTAATTAGTTCCAAATCACTGAGCCAAGTTCCGTCCAAAACTTCAAATAGGCCTAAACGATGACAGACATAACACAGCAATTCAGCTAATAATCAGCTAATTAAGTCGGTTAACAGATACGCAAAAACAAATTCATGACACAGGTCTCGTCATCCGCGAGGTCGGCGCGTTTATTTATTTTTCCCCCGAAATATATCACTGACTGCGTTTGTTTTGTCATATCTCACAACTGCCTTGGCTGTACACACTATAGAATAAAAACAGCTGTCAATTGTCGGCTCTAAAGTTTAGTTTCCAATGGGTTTCTACCCTATACTTAGACATATAAATAAGTAAAGAAATAAAGATATTTGAACTGCTTATTATAAAAACTAGATGTGAATACTCAAAATATGTTACTTAGAAGGCAAAGTAACCAAATATGCTGTGCTTTTTTGTTAATGTGGTGTTTATCATTTTATATTTTCCCGCCAAAATCATTGCTTGTATATTTTTCCTGCAAAAAAAATGGTTAGTTATACATGTATTGCTACACCGTTTGTTATTCCTTTCAAAATACAGCAGACAAAATCAAAAGAAAAGATTTGCCTCTGCATAAGTCACTATATCAATCATGGCTCGATCATGTTCAAATTTCACATAACACATCGTGTATATACAGGTGGTCGAATGGTGGCAATTTATTTTTCAAAATTTATCATTTTCTTCCTCTGTAGTATTTTCAACTATCATTTCCCTCTGAATCTAAGCCCCACAATGTATTATGCTGCAAGGTTTATTAAAGAGCATACGGTTATTTAGTATATAAGACAAAAATACTGAAACATTACTACATTTGGGTACTAAAGAGATGTTCGTGGCCCAGGTGGTTATAGTTTCACTATGTTTCGCATATTGATATAAGCCAGTTTTAAAAGATTTGTTGAAAGTCACTTTTGCATTGACAGGTAAGCTTTAAATTCAAACAGTTGTCAAAATTACGTGTCAAGCTAGGTCATTAATTACAATATTAACTGTATCTGTGTATGATAGCGAGAAGGAATTTTTCATTTTTTCTTGATTTTTCAAAATGTTATAAAACGATTATTTTAGACCTTGATACACATCCCCGATTTTTGAAATATCGAAATTTCGGAAAGACGCTGCTCAAATTAGTGTTACGCTAATACAAATAACCAAAACAGTCGTTTCGTGGATATTTGCATAATATTTATCTTTGGGAAGGGTTTAAATGATAACATCTTACATGTATACATGTTGTTAACGATTCTGATATAACGGGTGATAAGCCTCATGTCGCAAACAATGAGTGTTTATCTAACGTCCATTGTCAGCATTATTGTCAGCCAGGACTTCGTCGGAGAAACATTGTGATAACTTTGCGCAACTTTCTTTTAAATCGCAATCGCGGATTATGTCATTTTTACAAGGCTCGCCATTATTTTCGTCACGTGTTAATTATGTAAACAATGACCGTCCAGTGCGAACTTGTCCCTCCATACTTAGGCTTTTGATTCACATACGCTAAATTACGGCTCTAAATGTAACAACCGACAGAGAATGATTTATTCAAAAACGTCATCAAACCCTTCTCGCTGCTTTAAAGGGTAGTCGTCGCGCGGCGCACACGCATCGAGACGATTACCATCTTTTAAAGGCACTATTGGTAATGAAGTGAACACTAATGTTTATGGTTATTGCATGTAAATATACTAGTATAGCGATGGAGGCAAAGACCGTCTTGAAATATTCATTGTTCGATTTAATGTATGATCCGTCGACGCAACTCTATCACAAGAAATCAATTGAGCTACAGTGAATGAGCGCTGAATTATTATGTTCCTTTTCGTATAAAGTCGAAATAAAAATGTATTCCCTCGCACTCATTACAATCTTCATTGGTTAAAGGGGAAATTTCGACTAACAGACTGAATCTCTAGATGATGAAGAAGCTCTATGAATGTAGGAGGGTACAATATACCAGTTACCGTTCACTGCGAGATCCCGCGTTACGCGTGAAATCGAACCCGAAAACAGAATGAAAAACGGCCATTATGTCGTTGTGGCGTCAAAACACAGCGTGGGATTCGACAAACGCGAAATATTTGTGCTATACGCATTCGATGATGGTTAATTTTGATGAAGTAATGATATTTCAACTTCATATTCCTTTCTCTGGCAGATCGGCATTACCACATTACCTACTTTAAAAGTTCTTTACTATAGAATGTTTTATCGTTTTGTATGAAGTTTATTTTCACTGATTTTTGATGAGTTGATTGCAGATTATAGAAAAAAAATACTGAATATATTATTCAATGGCTCATCCTTCCATTGAAAATTCAATAAATTCCAATGAAAATAAAGTACTTCACAGTCGGAGGTTGTCCTCAATAGATTAAGAAAGGTTATTACTGTTTATAAGTGTATAACTAGATTCCTCCTTTTATTGTCTTAACATGGACCACGTGTTGTGATCATTGTCACTATCCTGGAAGTAAAACAGTCTCTGCTCACGGCTCTAATGTACGAAGTACCCGTCCTGTCAATCAGAGCACAACTTAGACGAAGCCACCTTATTAAAGTGCGCCCTCAATAACGTTACACTTACATATTTCTGTCGCTGAGGGCAGTTTGCAAATGAAACCAATATGGCGATATGGGAAAGTGATCCACTGTCCGAGAAGAACCCTACCCGCCATGGTTTGTTTTACTTTGCAAATTGATCGTCACCAGGACCGCAGCTAGATACATAGGAAACGACAGCGATATTATTTAGAGTACTTCCGGGTGTAGCTCTCTGGATTTGTGCAGGTGGTGGGGGATTTACTACGTTCTCGTTGAATAGATGCGTTATACTGATGAAAATGTCACAGTGTCAACTTGTATACAAAAGTGGTTATTATCGTAACAAGGATGGACACATAGCGTTAGAGTATCGGCGGTAAATCTGTATTCAAATGATCTTGACAGTGTCTTAGGACGCTATCTCTGAACATGGCAGAGAGGGACACACCCCGAAGGACGCTTCCTCGCCAGTGGAGCGCGGACGGGGCCGATTTATACCCTTTTCGTTGGCGTTCGGAAAACATTATCAAGAAGACGACGGACGCTGATACCCGTAGTAGTAGCGGCCGCGTTTCAGAGTACTTAAACGCCGTTGATGACAAGTACGTTGTTAACGCAACACTGCCAGATGGACGAACTAAACAGGTTGGTTGAATTTTCACATCACCGGTTATATAGTTGTTTTTGTCACCTCGTTCAACGCGTTTCATATTGCGTTTCATATCAAGTTGTGGTTTTAATAAAAAGGGTTACATTGCAGGTCACGGTCGTGGCCTTGATCACGATTTAATAATACTGTATGCCATAAGGTCGATATTTCATTTTTTTTTGCAGTAAAATATGCCCGTTTTGCTATTTTCTTTCCTGTGTTAATATATATATCACCTCTCATACTTGTATGTTATGAGCAAAAATAACAAAAACTGTCAATATTTATCTAATGTTATGCTTGCAGCATGAAACCAAATTGTGAAATTTTCACCAATATTGTAAATACCATTTAAATATTGAAATATCTTATTTCGGTTCCTGTCTCCATGGAAACTTATTGAAATACTACAGGTGGCAATAGTCAAGTTTGTATTAAAAAAAAATTATGCGTTTTGCGTTAATGATTCATATTCTTAAACGAACCCATGCGCTGCTCACAGCATTTTTTTTCTCTGGTTTCTTTCAAAATACTGGTACTGTAAAAATAAAAGGCAGAAAAAATAGCAAGAAAACAAATTACTGTTTCATTTTGTGAAGCATCTCAGGACTAGAAACAAAACTTTTTAAAAAAAAAATTATTTGAAAACTTTCCAATGTTATTCAAATGGGTCCACAGTAATCTGTCATTGTAGTTTGAATTGTGAAATCTTCTGATAATTATAAAGATGAATGGGTTTGTTGCGCTGAGAATACCTATATTAATGTTTTACTAATGTTTAGCTGATTTTAATTGTGTACTTATTGTAAATGTTTTTTTTAAAAAAAAACACATTTCTGGGATAAACTAAAACTAAAATAAGTTTTCTCCACGGGAAACAATATGAGTTTAAAAATAGTTAAATATTGAATTCTTTGTTGAATTAATCTTTAGAGACATCCGTCTGTAAATATGCCTTGGTAAACATAATGTTTTAACTCAGTCACAGTCAACTTTTGTCACCCAGCCACAAAGTAAGCATACTTAATTATGTCAATTTTCCTCCAAAAATTTTGTTCACATTTATACCAAAAGGGAAATTCTGTCATTTAACCAAAAATTATTAAAACTGTTGCACTAAAAATGATTGGTAGGGTTAATATTTACTTCATATTTATTTAGAATGTCCATTGTACATATACTTGATGTGGACTTCAGTAAACACATGCCTATGTTATCATTAGGCCCCCCCAAAAAAACTTATGTTGCCATCAGGTCGGTCGGTCGGATTTTTTTTTTTTTTTAAACTTGAAGGGTATTGTAAATTTTTAGAGGAAACACTTTTTCACTGCTTAAAATGGTGAGTTTTTAATACTTGGGCCTATTAAAAAAAAAAAAAAAAAAAAAAAAAAACGCGACCCGATATTTCATATTTTTGGGTCAGTCGCTGAGGGCAACAAAACAATTTTTTTTGGCCTTAGATCGAGGACAACAAATAATTGTGTTTCTGATTTTATGCAAATTAGTTATTTTTTTTAATTTTATTTGTATGTAAATTAGCCATGTTCTATTCATGTAAATGATTTTGTTCATTTACTTCTTTTATGTAGTAGATGATATAAACATCTACAAGCAAATCCATTATAATGTCAAACTGCAATAATTAGTAGTTTTTTTTTAATCAATCTTAATTAATTTTGTAATAAAAGCATGATTGTGGTAAAAATAACCAATTAAAAGGTAGTCCATTGTATCTCAGTTGTCTATCGCATTTTGTGTTTTTATTTCAAAGATATTAATTTTTTATTTCGTTTACAAATTTGATTCGCATTAATAATGAGCTAGGTTGGTACTATCAATCAGTTTGATAAATTTTATTTGCCTTTTTTTTTTTGATATTTCAGTACAGCAAAACTTGGTTAAATTGAAATATTCCCAAGCAAAAGAATTTTTTTTTTAAATTATAAACTTTTCTAATGAAAGACACAAATTTTAGTCTCAAATTATTATGAATTGACAGTACAGTGCATAAAGCTCGTCATTTTAGCCAGAATAATTTTCCTAATGGAAGATATGAACACAACTTGTCTGAATCAGAATGTTCTGAACTAAATCTTTGGGAAAAGAAAAACTTATTTTAGAACATTGTAATTTGTCTGTTTAAAAGCAACCAGTGGGTAACATATACCATGTACTGTGAAATATTTTATTTCTTGCTTGGAATTATTTTTTGCTGAAGGAATGATTCAGTGAAAATAAAATAGCGAATATACCTTTTTCCTATATTTTACATTCAACTCATCAAAAATCAGTGAAAATAAATTCCATACAAACACCCAAAACATCTTTCAACGAAAATTAATTCCAGCCTAAATTGAATAATTTTACAGTATAAAGCATCTGTGTCTAGATTTCAAACTATGGCAATATTGATAAAATTTACCATACACACTCAGAACAATGTCCCTGTCTCTATGGTAATGGAAACGTTGTTTTATCACTGTGTTGCGGTAGCAGACAAACTTGACCACAGAAGTGGCAGACAATAATGACAGAGAAGATGGACTTCCTTCTTTAGTGACACTAGTGTTCAGTTTGGCATGGGCTGCGATGATCTACAAGAAACAGTATTTTTGTAAGCTGGAAAGGGTGGATGAGATTTCCCAGGGTTTATAACAACAGATGTTTCCAGCTAATACACCTCCCTCTGAGACACTAATATACTGCTTGCAATTAAGTTTTTTTTTTTTTTTTTTTGGTCTCTGCTGATTTTAAGGTTTTATATATACACGGTACTCCTAAAATCATTGTGATTGATATTTCATTAGTGGATAACGTTAATTTCCGAAATAGTACATAATGTAGTTTAGATATGAACACACACAGCTCTTATGTCAACATTAACAAACACTGAGCTGTTTGTAGGCATCACACCATCACTGAATGTGCACATTCCTAAGTTAGGTAGACATTGATGTTGTTCATTTCAAACACAGTCTTTTCACTCTAGGGGGCATGTTTAGATTTCAAAGTCCTACAGTCGACAGCTGGACATCACTACTGGCGCTGGATAAAAAGTTATTTTATTTAAATATTCAGTTATCATTGTTTTGAACCAGTTTGTTTCCCTTCCAGGGGATTCTATATGGCTTTATAATACTGTGAAATACTTTATTTTCGCTTGGAATTAGTTTTCTTTATTTTCGCTGAAGAAAATAATTCGGTGAAAATAAAATCCAGCGAATATACCCTTTTTCCTTATTTTTTACATTCAACTGGTCAAAAATCAGTGAAAATAAATTACATACAAAACACCCAAAAAGTCTTTGAGCGAAAATTAATTCCAGCTAAAATAAAGTATATACAGTAAATAAGTAGGACTGTCTACACTGCGTTAACACATGATATAACCTGTCATGTCAACAGTGGGATATTATTGCACATTTCTCTTCTCTGCATTTGCTGTATTAATTATACATACCGATAGTCAGTAATATACACTGCAATGTTAAATTACTTTTTGTCTAGGCAATAATCGTATGTTTCAAAGTTCTTCTTGATTGCGACCCAAATCTACAATGTATTTGTGTACCTATATTTTCATGGGCCATGTAGTTAGAACATGAAATGCATAATTTTAAATTTTCATGATTTTTCCAAATTTTCCAAATTTTGTTCAATTATATCAGACAAGGCTGTTTTTTCAATTGGATTTATAGTTTTTTACTCAAAATAGGGCAAATAATTAGAAATGTCCACGATTGATTTTAAAACAATTTAATTCCTTTACTGGTATTGATTTGTTTAACTCACTGGCAACCTTTGTCTCTCAATCCGTTTTTATATTATTATTGTAATATTTCCATAGACACCACTTGAAAAGGCTTATTAAAATTTGATAAGGATGTGTAAATATTTAATATGATACAAATTTATTGAAATCCTGCAATGTGAACTTGCAATCAAGGGTATGGGATTATTTTATTTTCCTTCGAATATATTTTTTCCTTCCACTGTCAGATTCTGTATTATCAGAGAAATCAAACATGGAAACAATGAACAGAGCTATGTTGTGACGTCAAACAATTGTGTGGGATTCAAGAAATGGGCAA